TTGAAATGAACTGTGATGGGGTGGATGGATGTGAACGCCAATAAGAACAGAATCTCAACAGATTACATGTGGTCACATGTAATCAAGTTGCCAATTCTGAATAGTGAGATCTTTTTTTGTCATAATCCAAGATGCCAACCACACAATAAACCAAGTTGAACTACTCCTTTTAATAAAGTGCTATTGTGCCACAGGGGAGCTAATTTCAGTAATGCTCCTCATAGCAACAGCAGGCCTGTTATTTCTTTTGTTTGGTTTTTTCCACTCTAACTGTGACTGTGTGTTCGTCACATTTTTTTGGGCATCACTTTGTCCTCCCACTGACTGCTCAGACTTGGTGGCAAACCTCTCTTCTTTGTCTCTCGTTTCCTGCGCTTCTCCAATCATGTTTTGTTAGCTGTGGTTATGAAACACATGACTTTGAGTGAAAGTAAATGGTTTTATTCCAATAGTTTTTTACACAACAAAATGTAACTCACTTTCTTATAACAATAAAGGAAGAAGTCTCATAACCCACATGCAGAACCAGTGCATGTGGTTCTGCACCGCAGTATCAGTCAGTGAATGAGAACGTAGACATGACAACGATGGTTTATTCATTATACTTACCAGGTGACTGAACAACAATATAGGAAGGAATGCCTGGAAGAGAGACTGGATCAGTTTGATCACAATTTGAATAATAGATTCTCTACATTCTGTTGAAATAAATAATATGTTGGAGAAGAAGTTGGAACCTGCTGTGTTTGGTTTGAACCTCAGTTACTGTGTGAGTCAAAGTGACAGTCACCAAAGAGAGATTCAGATCAGGTCACACATGACCATAAACACACATGCAATGGGAAGGCAACATCTTGTTTTGTCTAACCTAGTACATTTGTTTGACCAATCCAATTAGACAGAATGGTTACTTATCCAGTTGAACGATCAGTCAAGTTTATTTGTACACATGTGAAAGTTGCAGGTCTCTGGCCATTGAGGACTCTGCATTAGAGACTTTACATCCAAACTGACTGAGCCTGAGTTGTTTTGCAGTGAAGTATCCGTAGAAACCATTCAGCCTGTTTAAGTTCCAGGCCAGAAGGTCTGGAACTTAAATGAAACCTCACAAACTTGGCAGCTGTGACTGCAGTAAAAGCTCTTTTTACAAACAATCAGCTGAGAGGCGCTGAATACAAATCCACGTCAATCCTTTGTGTGTTTTTCTCACTTGAAAACTGGATATTATGGAACATTGCAATCAAAGACATTTCCCCTAACTGATGATAGAAGTCAGATATTAAGTTTTCCGATTTAATTTAAGCATAGAAAATTCAAATCTGCTCCAGCTGGAAGCTGCCCTAAAACTTCTGCTCATCTGGGGACAAGCCTAGCATCAAAATGCAAGAAAACATTAATCTGGATGCTGGTCATTGTTTTATTTTTGCTGGACGTTTATTTGATTTTCACTTTTGCATTTCCGAAAGCCATTGTTCTATTTGGAGATTTCACTTAACAATTACCAAGATCACCACAAGTGATCAGGATGAGTGAGTCCTTTGATGACTCACTCATCAAAGGACAGAGTCATTGATGAGTGAGTGAAGCTGTGCATCATACTGATTGGGATGATCTGTTTGCTGTGCTGGTTGCTCTGTTACTTCAGTGGAACAATATAAAGATCGACTGACCTCAGCACAGCTCCCAGTATCCAGACCTCTAAGAAACTTCATAAACCTGTTACTGTGGTGGATCTGGGATTTTAAATTGCAGAATAATTTAGATTTAGGTTCAATAAATGAAAAATATAGTTTTGTTTCTATCTAAATGTAGGAAAGGGGATTAGGGTCACTGAAAATAAGGATTCTGATTTTAATCTCATAATTCTGCTTATGTCAAAATCCAAATAAATAACCAAACCCTGTCTGGTGTCTTTGTTCTGTGATAAATACAGCAGCTATTAAAAGAAGGAAAATTATCTATAATTTGACTGATTTATTATTGTAATCTTTATTCCATCAATAAAGACAGGCATATTCAAAATTTGGCCAAATTTGGTCATATATCAGAATTATCTATTGATTTTCTCAAATAGGCTTTAAATGAAATCAGTCATTCCCATTCACACACACACACTCACACCCCCACACACACGCATTCACGCGCTCTGCTTGGTTTGTGAAATACTCAGTCCTTGGTATAAGTTAGTGTGTATTATTCTTTTTTAATCTCTGTGATAAAAATATGTATTAATGCAGCTTCTTGCAGCTGTCCCTGCAGTCCACTCTGGTGTGGTAAACCCTTTAACAGTATGAATTAATTCTCCACTTTGATTAGTGGGGGTCAGAGGCTCAGGGGGATAACGGGAGGAAACATCCAGGAGGAAAGGAGTGAGAGAGAGGAAACGGACCTGGACATCAGCTCAGCATCAGAGAACATCATTTCTCTGTTGGCTCCATCTTCCTGATCCAAACAACTGGAGATAATGACAGAGGAGTGAGACTATCTGCACCAACAGAGAAATCTGCTGCACCCTGAGCTTCTTCATTTAAATAATGAAAAAGAATCACCTGTAGTGTATTTTTGCATGAATCATGTGAACATGTATTCTTTGAGCTTTGTTAAACATGTTGACATGTTCCTGGTGTTTTGAGGCAGCAACTACATTTGACTGGCTGAATTTCTGTGAGTTACCCTTCTTCTGTCCTCTCATAAGTCTCTACCTGAGCATCTGAACTCCTGGGCAGCCCATCATGACCGTTTCACATTTACCTGCTATGATGCTCTGAGGAGGGAGGAAATTAATTTGCAATAAAATGTGAATCTCGCTGGATCTTTGACTTTTACATCCATTTCCAGGGTACTGATAAAATGTCTGTTTTTTCCTAATGGGATTAATTCTGGTTCATTTTAAAACAAAGTTCCTGAAAGAAGTGGACAGTTTCTGTCAAATATATTGCAATGGTAAAACACAGTTGTCTCATAAGGACGTCCACACAGCCTTTTAAACAGTAAACAAAAAACCTTGACTTTCATCACAAAGGCTGCTAACATATCAATATGAACAAAACTCACTGCAAACAATGACATCAGTTTCCTATTAGACCTGTTTGCATGTCAATAGATTTTTGTAGTTTTGAGTATTTATTATTTTTTGTAAATTATCTTTGGAATAAATGAATTTAGTTTAGTGTGTTCCTTGTTTATGCCTTCTTCAAACTTTCTTTACTGGTATTTAGGTTGAAAAGTTGTGTCTTCTTTCTATGGTAGAATTGTGTGTGTGTGTGTGTGTGTGTGTGCGTGTGTGCATGTGTGTGTTTGTGCTGTAGCTTGTAGTCTGGATGGTTAATTAAATGAGAACATTATCTCCTGAACTTTATGATTTACTATAGAAACATTTTAAATGCCATTGGCAAGTGGAAAAGGCCTGATCCATCCTAATTAAGGAAAGGGTAAATACTTAGTCATGAAACATAAGCCAAGATAAAACTTTACTTTAAGTTTAAAGAACTTTGTTACATCTTATCTGCTTCACTGAACCTGAACCAATTCCTAGTTTCAGCATTATCATATGACCAGAACAAAATGATGATTCATCACTGGATTACACTTTGACTGCTTTCATTCTTTTGCATACATTTTATGGAATCTTAAGGAATCTGTATTATTAGAAAGAATCTTAACCCCCTATTCAGCTCCTCCAAACTAGCAGCAGCAATTAGCAAACACCTGGTGGAGCTGAGAGCCTGCTGAGCTCAGCTTCAGAGAATAAAACAGTAGCATTGTTCTGATGATGTGATCAAAAGCAGAGTGTAAGAGCTTCTTAAGGAGACACAGGCCAATTTTAAGTTGTCAGATAATACAAAGTCTAATTTATGTTATGGTAGTTTTGATCTATACAATATAACAATTGATGGTAACATATTTGTTGTGGCATAAAATGGCATTATGTGCCAGGAAAAAACAAAACACCGACAATTAAAATGATTAAGCGCTAATGCCTGGTTGAACCAGCTTCTTTACTGTGAATAAGAGCTTACAGTCCTGAAATATTGTCTTTTTATAAATATATACTACGGGGATATTTGATCTACACTTCTAGAACCCTACTAGAGTGGATTACATGTGGAGCATTAAATTCTACAAGCCTATTTGGCCATGTGTACAGCAATAAAACATTAAACACACCAGAACTGTTTCCAGTGTTTGTAGCTCCCCTCTACACACTGATAGAGTTTTTGAGACAAGAGCTGAGACTTTAATACCCATATTCCAGTTTTTGATGTATCCTTCAAAAACTATACACCTGGAATCTTTTAGCATCTAATCACATAGAAAGCTGCTTTTATGTTTTTTTTAATTTTCCTTTCTTTATTTCACATTGTCCAGACTGTGTTAAATTTGAACTGTAAGGAAGATATATGACAGAAAACTGGAGCTGTAACTATTTTGGAAGAATTCTTTGACCCATAGCTTGAAGTCACTAATTTTGAGGTTTTCAACTCCTGCAGTTAGATATTACAGCCCTTCTGAGAATGTGTAGACATCTGTAGTTTTTTCTAACATGTAGCTGGGGCCTTGGAGACCAATTCTACACCTTGAATTCACACTCTACCTACAGTGTGTGACATTTGTAACCGCAGCCAATGACTATTGGGTGTAGCATTTCTAAATGTGGCACTAGAGACTTGTCCCAACCTTGATAGCTTGATCCATGGGACTTGCTGTGTTTCATATATTCCTGCTGAGAGATTTTAACTTTAGAACATGAAAGTCTCACTCAGATGATGGGAAGTTACTGATGAACTGAGATGTGGGACAATTCCATCCAGATGAGATGGGTTTCATTTTCATCAGTGTCTGCGGTTGTCTTCTGGTTTTTATGTAAAATTCATTTTGCATATTGGAACACAAATGAACCACAACTCATTCAGGGAGAGTCTACACCGTCCTCTCTGCTGTTACTAAAACACTGTTGCTGTTAGCGATTGCCTTTGACTGCTTTTTTCTTTATCACACAGATACTGGATCCACAGGTGTGCTTAAACAAGCATCCAGGTTCAAACCACCCCTCTGGCAGACATGAGGAACAAAGGGTATGTACTAACCTCTCCCATCACTATGTCCATCTATGACTGAGAAACTTGGCAAAAACAGTGGCAAAACAACTTTTGGCCACATGTAACAGGTCAAAGCAAGTCAATTGTTACTATCTGATATTTGTTTTTTGTTCACATATTGGTATTGAGCTAATAAATTAAACTGGGTAGATAATAAACGATATTTATGTCCATCCTGTTGCCATTTGTTTCTGGAGGCTGGTCATGTGGTGTTTGCTTGGTCATGTGACAATGATGATGATGCAATGCGGAATTGTGGAAAATTTAGCTGAAGCAGAAAAGCCTGGAGGGCCACCAGACTTTACTTGCCCCGCCGCCACTTGCCCCGCCGCCACACCAGGCTAAGCATTGTTTGCTTATTTGAAATAGAGCTGGCAAACTGTCTAAGCGCCTACTACCAGTAGCAGGTTTTCTGGGGGAAATGCTGCCTGTAGATCATTAGAAACTTTCCATCGAAGCCTGCCTCATCTACAGCAGTTCACAGGAAACCTGAACTCTGGTCAAGTCCTTTAGATACTGGTCCTGGTTGCTCCTTCAGTCTTTAACAAGAAAGACGTCCATCCTAGTTCCCTCCACATGTCTCCATAGCGCATCAGCAGAGAAATGGAAGCACAAAGAACCAAATAGTAACAGTTTTCAGTCGTTGAGTTTTGGCCGTATCTTAAAGCTGACTGAAGACATAAGATCTTTCTCTCCAGTTTGACCTTAGCTGTCCCCAAGTCTTGCCAAGATGGGAGATCAACTGCTGCTTCTCATGGCTCATGTTGTTAGCCAGGCGCAGACCTCAGTAGGATGGAGGTGATGTTGAATGTCGGTATGTCCAGTAGTAAATTTGCACCACGCGCATCCATCACTGCGTCCATGGCTCTGCCTCCGCCTTTTCCTTCAGCTGAGCTGAGCTACGTCCCTGCTTACACACGTTCTCTGGCACATAATTAATTCTCCCTCTCATATCTCTTCCTGTGTGTCAGCATCTCTGCTGCTTTATAGGCTCATTCTGGAATGAACTGACAGGTCTGCTTTGAAATATCACCAAATTAAGACTGCTGGCATGTGTAAGCAACACAAATAAACACAAAAATCCACAAATCAAACGGAGGGCGCCGTCGATGACTCCTATTAAAACTTTGTCCACCCTGTGATCTGCAGAGATTTGTTTTGTGGGTTGGAACATTTGAACTGATTCCACATTCATCATGTATGTTTCATTCACCTTAAGCTTGCTGCTCATCACTGATGTGTTGGATGCTAAAACCGTCTGTCATTAATCCAGGTTAAAGTGGGTGTGTTCTGTCAGTTATGAATGTTTTCAGTGTGTTTACCAGCTTCCTGCTCATTCATTCCAGTTGTTTTTATTCTAACAAAATTCAATCATTTTTACTCCTCAAGTAGCTGGGAGGTTTGCGCAAGAACTTGGTGTAATCCTGGACAGACAGCAAAATTGTCTGCTAATTTTCCATAGTAACAAACGTTTGTACATGCTGATGTATGAACCGTATGGTTCACACCGTATGGTTCACACCGTATGGTTCACACCGTATGGTTCACACAGTATGGTTCACACAGTATGGTTCACACAGTATGGTTCAGTAGACTTGGCTTGGTCGAGGACCAAAACTACAGCATTTTTTACATTTCACCTGAAGCGATTTGCTTTCATGCTGCACTGCATCAAATAAACCAAACCTGTTCCCCCCGTAGACTGTGGAGGCCCTGCACCAAGAACCACTGAAGGAAACGACATGGAAACCTCTGAAGAAGACTCTGAGCACAACTTTGTTTCTCACAGTAAAAGAGTGGAGGTTAGCAGTGGTTGGATTTCGCTTTGTCTTGGACTAAAGACAATAAGCCATTTCTCCCCTTGTGTTAGATGTGTTTGTTTGTTTTGATTATGTTTACCCAGGATGCCATATATTGTAGTCTACTTCCTGCTTTTGTCTCTGGTCTGCTTGTCATTCACATACACATTCAAACTGCACTGTTTCCAGAGACTTTTTTTAATCAATCAATTTTACTTAATAAAGCTGAAGGTTGAAAAACTTTCCATCTGAATGTGGATGGAACATATGCATGTGCCATGTGAAGGTGGCCATGTGCAGCTCTAGTTTCATCCTGTCATGTTTCCCTCACTTACATCTGGGTGAAGCTTAACACCATGAACTGATGGAAATCACTGCAAGGACATATGACAAGCTTTATCATACGAGGTTGGACTTACAGATGGAAAATATCCATTTACACACACAGTCCATTCAAGTCTGAGGCACAGCTTTGCAAACAGCTGTTCCTCTGTATTTAAATTGTCACCTGTCAACCTAAATTTAGCTTTCAAGAGCTAGAATGTAAATTTTCTGTTCAGCCATTGTGAAGAAATCACCTACCACACCTCCTTCTGCTGTCATCCATCATAAAGTAGAGCCTGTCTGGTCCAGCGATTAATTTTTCTCATTTTCAAAGCTCCTCTCAGGAAGCTCTGAAAATAGCTCCAGTTTTATACCGTTATGGATTTGGAGGGGAAAAGTTCAGTTATCTACTAGAAGTCATGACAAATTTGATTTGTGAGAATGCATTTTATCTTTATGTCTTGGATTACCAATGACAGTATCCACTTGTTTTCTGCACAAAATATTGTATGGTACTTCAGTCTCAGAAGACGCAGGCGTCACTAAAAGCCTGTAAGCTCCTGAAAACCTGTATTTAGATGAAGAAAACTCCAGAATGTGCCTTTGTAATGAATTACTGTGATGCTGTACCAAGCTCTGTACCAATCGGAATTCCAGTTGACTCGGACAATACAGGAGTGATGAATGTTGACGCTACTTGTCTGTTGCTGTGTTGCCATTGACCACATAATTGCTCTAATGAGAATTCTAGAAATATGTTTGTTTAATTAAAGTAAACTGAAGCTTAAAAAAAAACATCCGTTTTTTGTTCTTTTTTGTTCTACGAGAAGCTGGTTTTTCAGCTGCATCAGAAATTGTGTATTTCACAAAACTGCAATGGATAAAAAAAAACTTTTGCACTTGAACTCTTTGATGCTTTTCTTTTGCAATCTGTTCTGCTAACCTGTTTATTTCCATCTGTTCCTGCATAGATGATGTTTGCAGCAAACCTGCCCATTCCATCCATTTCCTGCTTCCAATAAGTGGCCACATATTCATTCAACATGTTCCAATTTAAAGGGCAAGAAAATAATTTGTTCTTTAATTAGTATGCAAGACTTTCGGATGGAGCACTACATCATAGTGCAATAGAAAAGGATTTATCCACTTAATTGATTTCAAGGGTTTCCAGCTCCTTCATCTATTTTTAAAAATGAAACTCAAGAGATGATTTTCATTCCATAAAGTGATTAAATAAACTAGAAAAAAGAAAAATACTGCAGCTAAACCCTGTGAAGCCATATTCAGACTCCATGATATTTTATAGTTTCATAATGCCGCCCTGACATGCTGCTGATGCCCAGCCATAAAGGAGAATAATAAAAGACAGTCGCCATGTTTATGTCAAAAGGCAGACGTGGTGAGGTCGTCCCAGGCAATCACGTCGCCATGTAACTTCTCCTCATCCAGATACTTGACAGAGACTCCAGAGCACATCCAGCATCAAACAGGCATATAAACCTTCGTCCTTCACGCTGGGCCTTTCTTCATTGCTTTCTCATCATGGCCACTTAAGATGTGATCAGATGAGAGTGCGCAGAATGTCACAGGAAATGCAGATTGGCATCAGCCTGGTTTGGAGCAAACAGCTGCATTACAGAAACACCTGTCAGGCATTAAAGCCTCCACCCATTATTTTTCTGCAACATTAGCTTCTGATGGCTTTGTCTGCAGCATCAGGACAATACAGAGTGTCTTTAATTTTATTATGTTTTAGTCTATATTTAGTCTCTTTAGTTACACAGCTGCAGGGGGGAGAAAGACGGAAAAAAACAATCTCTTAATTTTATGAGTTGCTCTGCTGCGTTCTGCACCCTGACTTGATCTATTTGTGGGTTTACGGAGTGTGAGAGGTGGAGTGTGAGAGGTGGAGTGTGAGTGTGGAGCTCAACATTTCAACACTATGCAGATGTTTTATTTCACAAATACATTAAACTAAGCAAACTCTTATTGGAGTTTTTTTTTTTTTTTTGTCTAAAAAAAAATAATAGATTTGAGTTTTGTTCATAATTAAAGTTGGGGATTGAAAATCAAATGGAAGTCCTTGATTTCATAAGTGGTTTGAAAATGTGATTCAAGTAAATTTTGGTAGGATTCTGCATTCCAAATGGCAAACCTAATCAGATTTTAAACTGCTTTATTTCAGCTGGAAGCACTTAATGCATCGAGCCGGTTTTATGCAAATTATTAGTTTTACTTTGCTACATAAAATGCATTTAAAACCTATTTATTACCTGAATATACTGTATGCTTAACACACAGCCTGGAAAGACATTTAAAAGTTTTTCACATTAAGCTCTTCCTTTTTCAGTGCAGTCGGGATGACCAGAATGATCTCTATTTGCTCAATGTTGAGATAATAGGCTACGTTTTATATAAGTGCATTTTTCAAATGTAAAAGTTTTAACTCACTAAAAGTTTGTGGCTATAGATCTATAACAATTTGGGAAAACTCAGATGTTTTTCAGTTGCTACCAGTTTTGAGCCATTAGCCTTCTGATCTTCTGCGCCGCTTGGATTATTGTGTTTCTTCTTCTTTAAATTCATCATTTATCAGTCTACAACCTGGGTTCATCTCATTTTCCTCACCACCTCTAACCACAAACCATGACTGAAAGAACCCTCAGTCCATGAAGTAAGCATAAACATTGAAGGAAACAGGTTTGTGGTGAGATGAAACTTTTGTGGTTCCAGAGTTCTGCCAAATCCCCTGAACTAAATCAGGCTGAAAACTAGACAGAGTTAATAGGCACTGTGAAAGTAGTTTAGTTTTGATGTGGGCTTAAAAGACACTCATAAAAGAAGAAGTACATA